CATTGAAGCTTTGCCGTGACTGCAAACCATTCGAAGTGCGGAAGTGCAGATAATTTGATCCCCAATGTTGATGTCAACAGGCGCTGGGAACAGCCATCTCGTATCACATCACCAGAGCTACATGAAGTAGATGTCGCTAGCCCTTACAAACGATCAAATATTCTCCTCGGAGACCGTTTCAACAATTTTTTAGTGGTGTTGTCGTCGCAAATTCTGCTTCGAATGGCCCTCTGGATGCAATAGTCCTTTGCTAGATCCAGGGATCTCCTCAAACTGAAGTGTGTCAGTCTGGGATTGGCCATAAGTGCATCAACAATCGAGGAATGTCCACCCCTGACCGCCAACATCAATGGATCCTCGAACCATTGATTCCTCAGGTTGACATCAATTCGGCCATGGCGTAGTATTTCCCGGACCATCTCTAGGTCACCGCCACGGGCAGCAATGCAGAGAGCAGTGTCATGGGTTGCGACAGTGCTTTCATTAACATTCAGACGTGCGCCTTGCTGTACTAAGAGCCTTACCACATCGAGATGACCATGTGAAACCGCTCGACAAATGGACGGATCTATTAAACCCCTTCCATTGATCTCCACGCCCTCCATACTCAGTAAACAAGCAACTGTCTTCACGTGTCCGTGATATGCAGCAACGGAGATTGGAGAGTGGTCTGCAACGCAGAGATTCAGAGCAATCCCTGGCACTGCAAGCAGCCGTCGTAAAAGTATAGTATCCAATCTCGTTGCGGCATGGTGTAAAGATGTAGACGGGGCCTCAAGTCTCCCACGGCCTCCAACGAAATTAACGTCGATGTCTTTCTCCGCCAAGAGCCTTTCGGTTATCTCGTCGCATGACGAGTAAGTAGACAGCCAAAGTGGCGTATTGCCATCTTTGTCTTTGCAGTTCACGTTGGCAAGGGGGTGGCTCAGGATCAAATCGACCACTTCCAGGCTTCTGCTTTGAACGGCGAGATGGAGCGGCGTATAGCCTTTCCGGTCCTGAATGTCCAAGTTCAGATCCTTTTGTCTAAGACGCCACTTGACAGCATCTATCGACCCATGCAACACTGCCTCATGAAGAGGTAGCTCGGAATCCTGAGCATTTCGGGCACCTAAATAAACTTCACAGTCGGGGCCATTGATAAACATTATTTTCATGGCGGGTATATTGATTCGACATGCCCAAGACCATGCCGACTGGCCTGAATCATCTTCCAAGTTAGGGTCGCTGCCACTTAAAAGTAGCAGTTGCACGAATCCTATTCTTCCTGTGAAGACTGCTAGGTGAAGCGCCGTTCGCCCGTATCTGTGTTTAATGTCCACACTGCCGGCGCGGTGCTCTAGCACGCTCTTGACGATGGAGGAACTCCCGTAGTGGATAGCATATGACAGGGCGCTGTCGCGCGCTTGATTTTGGATGTTGATATCTAGGTCTCGACGATTGAGCAGCAGTTCGCGCACAGCAGCGGAAGAGTATTTCAACGCCCGCATCAAAGGAGTTTTGCCTCGGTAAAATGCATTGATGTTGGCGTTGTGCTGGAGCAAAGCATCCACAAGGCCAACGTTGTCGTATTTGACGGCCAAGTGCAACAGATTGCTGTTCTGAAATCTGATGTTGTATTTCCAGGTGCTGGGCTGCAGTCTAAAATCAAGGTCTTTGCATGATTTGGCGAGGGCGAATAATGCACTGCCATCCAAATGCGACACGATCCACAGCAAAAGCTCGTTGGGCAGGTCTCTGATGTTTGGCTGTAATTTGTTAGCTCATCCGTAACTTCAGTAAGAAAGAATTGGAACTGACCATAGTGGAACAGCATATTAGAACTAGGAATCAAATAATTTGTATATGAGGGTGAGCTGTGGGGTGTGAAAGTTGGACGTGGAGAGGTCCTTATATACTTGCCTCAGCTAATTCCGCGGTCACCTAGGGTGTAGCCCGTCACCGCTGAGAGGTGCCTAGCAATCACGCGGCAGCATTAAATTCTTGACAACAATGTTTAGGCGGGTGAAAGAATCCTTGGACTCTAGCTCCTGGGAACACCAAAGCTGTTCCTGGTAGTTGTCGATGGCCCTAGGAACCGAATATAGTCTCTACATGCCCACACCTCGAATCTAGCGCCATAGGCGTCGAAGCAAATAACAATCTAACACGCACTTCGAAACTTCCATAGGCAACCCAGAATTTAACCTAGCATTTGTCGACTTTGCTGCGTCCCGCCGCAGCCAACCTGTTCGCCAATGCATGGTCACCGCAGTCTACAGCTACAAGTGCAGCTGATTTGAGCAACAGTGATGTGGAATGATATCCCTTCTCGCAGGCCACTGATCGGCCTATACCGGCGCATACTGCATCCAAATGCATTCTTCGACGTACCAACTGTTTCAAGGAAGGCGTTGCATGCCAGCAGCCTCGCAGCCATGTAGGTAAGGAGGCTACGGCGATGGCATATAAAGCTGACGAGGGAACACTGCGGAGATTGCCCAACATCAACTCCCATCCAAAGTATTTTCTGCCTTTAAAGACAATCTCAATGACTACCATGCCTTGGAGCCCATTTGCTGTCTGCGGAATCCCTCACGGCGGTCCTGTGTCCTGTTGCGGGGTGACGAAGAAAGGCCAGCCGTGCAAAAACTCTGTCAAATTTCAAGACACCAAGATCGGCTATGAAAGGTTGACCACTCTCGCCAGAGAGCCGTTTGACTTGTCAACTTTGCAGTCAAAGCTATGTGATATTGCTAGAGTCTTCCTCTGCGCGAGATGGCACCGTCAACGGCAGGCCGACCAAGTTGGCCAGCGGTGGTATGAAGCAGCCATCCGCAACCAGGCGCGAGTGCCGCATGGCTCTAGAGTTGCCGCTCCATCCATTGCGCATCCGGGCCAGCGTCAGATGTCGTCAGTGTCCAGGAGTCGCCCTGCACCAGGCAACACCGACAGGTCACCTCACGGGCTCAGACAAGACCCACCGGTGCCGCTGTCAACCAACTCCGAGCCAGTGCAACCATTCAATCCATTTGTGACTTCCACAATGCTGCGGACAAACAGTGTTCCATGGCATGTTTCGCTGGCTCAACCAGCGATCCTGACATCGGTCGCTAACGTCTGGGCTGGCGTCCAAAGCTTGACGCTCAAGGATCTCACCCTGAGTGACGAGTTCGACGACATCCACTGTGTATTTTGTCTGGCCGAGGATGATGACCTTGCAAATGAGAGTGTGATCTTGCGCTGTCAGTGCAAGGCGCTTTCCCACCTGGCCTGCGCGGAAGAGTGGCTGGA